GGGCATTTCGCAAATATTTTGGAAAATTTTAATCCACGATTGAAGTTATCACCTTTACAGTGTTTTGCTAAACCTAAGTATAATTTATGCTCTAATGTTAAGTGAAAAATTGTGGAGCTGATCTTATTTCCGTTTGTTTCGGAATTACTTTAATAATCTAAGGCAGTTCTGATTGGCCAGACCGGCTGAGTACGCCTCCTACATCTTCCTACTCAGATTTTACCCAGTTATTCAGACCCCCTTTTCCAAAATCCCTTGCATTTTCTTTTTAAATGTTGTAGTAAACGAGAAGGCTTTGTTTACTCCAATATTTAAAGTGCTTAAACTGTCACTTTTAGGCCTGTCTTGTCTACTTTAGCTGCCAAAGGTGACGGCATTGAGGAACTCGATGGAGTGTAACAACATAGGGCACATACGCAGTGAGCCTTGAAGATACTTCAATGCCAAATCCAGAAGAGAATTTAACCAAAAGACTTTGTCGGATTCCTTGTGTTGAAAGCAAGAAACAATGAGCCGGAAATTTCTGAATTCTGTCGCTTACCCAGAGTTGTGGAAAATGAATTCATTTTTCACAAAATGTACTGGGAGGCACCGGAAAGTTGGTAATCGCTAACGTCCCAAAGCGAAATCAACTCATTAACAAACGATGGTTGCAGATGTGCTTGCTGTTCCGAATTTACTTTTTCCCAACACTCTGATTATCTGTGAGAACTATTAAAACCTGTTTCCAGATGAAGACTGAATTCGTGGTAAAGTCTCTTCGCTCTGAGCGGAAGAAGTACACTGCCGATTTTTTCTTACAAACAGGAGAGCTGAAATATCGCGATAAATGGTGGCACCGACTACTGCTTTTTCCGGAAAGAGCTCAGTATTTGCGTAAAAAAATGTCAAAAGACTGTGAAACCGTTCAGGCTAGGAAACCTTTACACTTCTTCAAATGAGGCGGAAAATAGCTGTTGCAGATGCTACGGGGCAGGAGTATAAACTTCTATGCAAGGAGCTGAAAGGATGACAGAAGCATTTTTCGGTGGAAGACACTAAGGGTCGCAATTCAACCTTTTTAAAGCATTTATTCTTTCGTACCCTCGGGTCAGGTCCGGAGGATAGGACCTCGCTCCATTTTTTGAAGTCAGTTTTGATGAAAAAATATCGGGTTTGCTCAGCTGAAGTTGTTTTCTCCACATGCTTTATTAGTGATAGGGAGAACAACTTGACTGTCTGAAAAAATTATTGGTTGTGAGAAAATAATAAATGTATTGATTTTGCATGATTATGCATGCTTTATTATAATTATGCAGGATATGGGCGGCATTTCCGAAATAGCAGCGCGCACCAGAATAGCCGGTGCGATCATGCGTTTTGTGCAATTCTGTCCACCGAACGATTGCCTGTTAATGATTTTCACTGCTTTGCACTTTGGTCTGCGGAAGAATAGTTGAAATATTAAAAAATGGTTAAAAATTTTACACATCGGGACGTGAAAGCTGAATATAAAACCTCGAAGAGTGAATATCCTTCCAAAATCTCAATCTGTTTTCTGGCTTTCGAATGATCTCTGAGACAAAATTTTCACTTGGTCGTACGTGAGACCTCGGCATACTTAGGGGCTGAGCTCGAGTTTTTGAAGCCCCTACTTAGAGAAGAAGCATTCCCTAGAAATTTTCAGCCTCCTAACTCTTCTGGCTCCCGAGATAATGATTTTTCTCGCCAGGGGACGTTGAAGATTTACAGGCAGGGGATGCCACGCTAAAATTTCAGCTTTCTAGTTTTTGCAGTTTACGAGATAATAATTGCCCTAACAAAACTTTCACGGGGCCATATGTGGTACCCAAGGATGCGTGAAGGCCGAATCCACGAGGGTCATAAGTTGATAGGGGACATCGCCATAAAATTTCTGATTCCCAGCTTTCGTGGTTCCCGAGATAATAATTTTCTCCGCCGAAACTTTCACGAGGCCGTAAGTGATACCTGAGCGCGCGGGAAGGCTGAATTTAAACTTACGGGATTGTATGTGGGCAGGACACTCCACTACAGAATTTCAGCTTCTTGGCTTTTATAGTCCCGGAGTTAATAATTTCCCCGCCAAAATTTTCACAGGGCCGTAGATGATACCCCGGAGCGCTAAATTTGAATTTGCAAGGTCATACATGGGTAGGGGATCACTACACTAAAACTTCAGCTTCCTAGATTCCGTGGTTCCCGAAATAATAATTTACCCGCCAAAACTTTCCCAGGGCCTTACGTGTTACCCGTGGGCAAGGGAAGGCTGAATTTAAATTTTCTGGATCGCATGTGGGCAAGGGAAATGCCCACAAAATTTCAGTCTTGTTACGACGAAGAGACGACGTTACAACGAATGTTACACACATTCGAACGGTAGTACGACGGGCTTCAGACGAGACTTGGATGAATGACGATGTGCTGTGTGCGCTTGGTAGAAAGGCTGGGGTAAACAAAACAAACTTTATTAACACAAATAAAAGTTCACAGTTGAATACTTGGGTCGGCAGGGCTAAATCGGAAAATTGCAGCGAAACCGCTGGCGACTGTGAACGCTGATCACTGGAGCGCAGCAACACACTGTTGAAACTGAACACTGAATTTTACAACAAAATTGCAGGCATATATACTTATCACAAAGGGCAGGACAGATCACAGAAATCGAGAGGTCAATCCGCTGCGCGATTCTGGATTGCTCTTTGCTTCTCCTGCGCGCCATCTTTTGCTCGCTCTATATGCCGCCTCCTGTTGAAGCTCGGACCCCGAGCTCTGCGGTTCTCTTCACGATATGGATGAGTTCATCGCTGCATTGTTTGGCAACGGCATGTGGTCCTCGTTTCCTCTGCATCGTTCAAAAGTCTTGGCTCACTCTCTGGTACCGCTGCGTCTGATTCCTGGGTTGAACAGATCAATGCGAATCTGACAACAGTATTTTAACGCTGCGGCAAATTGCTTTGCTCCCATGATAGTCCAGTTTCCATTGTCGGAACAGTACTTGCCGTCTCTTCAAAAAAGTTGTTGGCCTGTTTCAAATACCAAATCAATTTTTTCAGGTCCGTCTTACCAACCCGCACAAATCCAAGAATGGTTCGCATACTTCCCCTTCATTGCCATAAGCCATTCTTTTATTTTCTGCAGTGTTTGTTCGTGGCCGTTTACGAATGGTGGTGCCATAACCACTGCCTGCACATCATGACGTTTCTGTAGCGCGGCTACTATCTCTTCAACATCTTGCTCCTTTGCATTCACATTCAAAAGAACCCAGGCTGGAACGCACCAGGCGGGCCGGTGCGATTATGCGTTTTTGCACGTCTCGTGCCGTAGCACGATCGCAAGAAATCACAGTAGCTAAACCTGTGACGTACTGACCCTCGAAGTTCGGGAAGTTGTGCAACTATGTGGCATGTCAGTTGTAGATGTCGGTTTCAGTGACCCGGCAAACGGAAAGGTGCTGGCCGGCAAAAAAGGCCACACCAGAAGAGTTAAATTTGAAATCTTTTAGTCGCACGTAAGTTGGGAACATTCCCTTAAAATTAAAGCCTTCAGCTTTTCCCGTTCCCGAGTTAGCAGTTTTCTCATCAAAATTTTCAGGAGTCTATACGTGAGTACCGGACGGTTTCAGGAAGCTGAATCTTTTGGTCATACATGAGTAGGGAGCATTATCCTAAAGTTTCAGCCCCCTAGTTTTTTTCGTTCCCGAGTTAATGATTTCCGCGCCAATCCACTTGTTCGTACGTGGGCCCCGGGCGCTTCTAAACACCTGATTTTGCTCGTACATGAGTAGGGGGACATCCCCTTAAAGTTTCAGCTTTCTAGTTCTTCCGTTTCCGGGTTAGAAATTTTCGCGCCAAAATTTCCGCGTGCTCGTACGTGGGCCCCGGGCGCTTCTAAACACCTGATTTTGCTCGTGCATGAGTGGGGAACATCCCCACAGATTTTCAGCTTCCTAGTTCTTCCCGCTCCCGGACTAGTAATTTTCGCGCCAAAACTTCCGCGTACTCGCACGTGGGCCCCGAGCGCTTCTAAACACCTGATTTTGCTTGTACATGAATGGGGAACATTCCCTTAAAGTTTCAGCTTTCTAGCTCTTCCCGTTCCCGGGTTGGTGGTTTTCACACCGAAATTTCCACTCGCTCGTACGTGGGTCACGGGCGCTCCTAAACAACTGATTTTGCTCGTTCATGAGTAGGGAACATTCCCCCAAAGTTTCAACTTTTTAGCTTCTCCCGTTCCTGGGTTAGTGATTCTCGCGCCAAAATTTCCACGTGCCCGCACCTGGGTCCCGGGCGCTTCTGAACACCTGATTTTGGTCGTACATGTGTAGGAAACATTCCGCTGAAGTTTCAGCTTTCTAGCTTTTCGCGTCCCCGAGTTAGCAATTTTCGCGCTAAAAATTTTCATGTGCCCGTACTTGAGCCCTGGGCTGTCTTAAGGGGCTGAGTTTGAAAACTTTTGGCCGCACATGATTAGGGAACATTCCCCCAAAGTTTGAACTTTCTAGCTTTTCTCATTCCCGAGATATGAATTTTCCAGCTAAATTTTCACGTGCTCGTACGTAAGCCCCGGGCAGTCCTGGGCAGCTGAATTTGAAATCTTTTTGTCATACACAGGTAGGGGACATTCTCTCAAGGTTTCAGCTTTCTAGCTTTTCTCGTTCCCGAGTTATCAGTTTTCGCGCCAAGACTTTCACGTGCTCGTACGTGGGGCCCAGACGTGCGTGAGAGTTGATACTGCAATCCTGAGTTGGTACTTGGCTGGGGAACACTGGCAAAATTTCAGCCTCAAAGCTTGCGTGGTTGGTGAGTTGAAACACCCGGACAGACGAACACACACACGCACCCACACACCCATACATACACACACACTGACAGGGTCGTTGCAATATGCGTTTTTGCTGCCTGTTGCAGCGCTCTACCGCTGCACGGCAAAAACGCATAAAAATTCCAATTTCAGTGAACGGGCCCATTTCCAAAAGGCTGCATCCTAGTTTGCTCCAGTTGCTAAACTGCAGTTGCTTCCCGGCTGCTTTTACAGCCACGTGCTCGCTTTCCACCAGCACTTTGCTCAATGTGCACGCTCGTGATTCTCCAGTTATTGCAACTCTTGCTTTTGTCGCGCCTCTGGATCGGTTTACTTTTGCTCGGACCTCCTCGGTTGCTTCCACAAGCGGATCTCGCTGCGCGAATATACCTCGGTACCCAGAATACATGGGCATTCCAAGTGATTCTTTCATCGCTTGCTGCTGATGCGGACAGCTCTTTCCGCCATCCCTTCTTTGCTACAACGGGTGTGTTCCACGGGTTCTTCCGCAGAATTGTTTCTTTCATCTTCAATTTTTCTTCGGAATCCCAGAAAGTTATCGCTTTTGCTAGTTCTCCGACTTTCCAGAACGGGATCTTTGCAACAGCTGGTAGGAATGCATCTATCATGCTCCCCAGTGTGACTCCATTGCGACACACTGTTGCCGTACATTCACGGCTCTTCCCCATTATCGTTTCCTCTACATTCACTGTTCTGCGGGTTCTTGTCCCTGTTCGAATATCACTTGAGCGATTGCTCTGGGTTTGAAATTGTATCTGTGTACTCTTGTTCCCCTTGTTTTCCTTCCGAGAACCTTTCCTAACTTCAACTGTCTGTGAGCCCCTCTCCTCCGTGATGCACCTAGCAGGTATTCCCCTTCTGCCACTTCCTTGGGAATTTTCCGCAGGTGGTCCAACTGCACTTTGAACGCTTGTTCCCTTCCCGCTATCAGCTGTACTGTGGCACTATTATCCGTCATCGCCAGAATGCGGTATGAGCCCACAAATTTATGGCTGAACTTGGGTGCCGGGTCTTTCTGACCTCTGTTGGGATATACACTAGTACCCGTTCTCCTATCCGATACGGACTAGCTTGCACGTGGTTACGCGTATCATAATACTGCTTGGCTCGCGCTTGCTACACCCGAGTACGTTGGAGCGCCTGTTTCCTAATTTCTTGGAGTCCTACTATAAGCTCTGTACGGTAGTCATCCAAATCTGTCATTTTCCTGGTGGGCTGTAATCCATGCATTTCGGGCTAAATCGGATCTTGTCCATATAACAGAAAATACGGGCTCTTACCCGTTACTTCATGAGGCGCTGTATTATAAAGTGTACAGAACGCAGAGGAACCTCCGATCCCATTCTACGGACACTGTGGCGCTCTTCGCTAACATATTAACGTTCTGTTCATACCTTCCGTCAGGCCGTTTTCACGTGGGTTAAAGCCTGCGGAAAACTTTTGTTCCATCCTGAACAGCATTGCAGTTTCTTGCAATGTTTTTTTGCAATTTGCAATTTTTGCAATCTGCAATTTGCAATTTTGCAATTTCTTGCAAAATTGAACAGCTCATTTTCAAACTCTCTACTTCGGTTGGAGATTAGACATTTTGGGCAGCGTCCTTCCCGAGCCGTCCAAAACGCGAGCTGTTGTCTCTGCTCGCTTGTCCGGCACTGAATATGCTGAACATTTGCTAAACAAGTCAGTAATGGTGACTGCACATCTTATCCTTCCTGATGGGCCCAAACTCTACAATGTCTGTTCCACAGATTTCTTTTGGCACAGCAGCCATAATGCGCTTAAGAGGTGGTATTCATGTGGGCTGCGGGTTCTGCGCGGCACACAGTAAGTAGGCCCTGTGCCACTTCGCGAAGTCTGCTTGCATCCCTGCCCAATAGAAGTGCTTTGAGAGCTGTCGTCACAGCTTTCTTGCACTCAGATGGCCAGCATATAGCTCTTCATGAGCTTTTCGAAAAGGCTCCTCTCGCTGGCTTCTGGGGACAACGATCTGGATCCGCCCATCTCCACTAACATGACACAGATCCTGCTCGTACAGGAAATAATTATCTACGCTGCCACCCTCCTGCAACCGTTTAATTACTTCTGAAAACTCCGGGTTTTCCCTCAGTTCCGTTAACTGGTCTTCATCCGGAGTATTTATAGTCATTGTGACAACGTCAGCTTCGGACACTACATCCTCTTTCTCTTTCTGACTACTCATCGCAGCACTTGCTCGACTCAGGGCGTCTGCACAACGACTAGTGGCCCCCTTAATATACTTCATCTCTAACTGGTGTGACTGAAGTTCTAAACCTCAGCAGAGAATGCGATTTGAAGTATTTCGCTTCTTGAACAGTGATAATAGGGATAGGTGTTCGGTCACAGCAACTACTCGGGTGCCGTGGATATTGAATTTGAACGCCTTAGCGCAAAAACTAGAGCTAATGCTTCTAAGTCCGTCACATGGTATCTGGTTTCCGCTGTAGGACATGTTTTGGACGTGAAATGTATTGGATGCATTTGTCCATCTGATTGCTTTTGATTCAGTACTGCCCCTAGGCCTTGACTACAGGCGTCTGTGATGATTATAAACGGGCTTCTCCTGACATTGCCATCTAGATGTTCGGTTGGGTCAAGACAGGTGCGGACGTCAATTTGGTCTTCAAGGTTTCAAATGTCTCTATACTACGCCTACTCCATTCTACTCGGTTTCCTTTCTTGAGCATATCGTAGAGAGGCCAAGCTAATACTGCAAAATTAGCGATAAATTTCCTGTAGTACGAACACATGCTGAGAAAGGTCTTTATCTCTTTCTCATTTCTTTGTGGTCGCGGAAAGTTTTGAATTTTTCTGGGTCGGTTGCCACGTCATGCATGTCTGTTTGGTGGCCCAGAAATAGGATTTCGGTTTGAAACAGTTCACATTTCGCTGCTTTTAGTTTTAACCCGTATTTTCTCAGTCGGGTCAACACCTCCTTCAGTTTTTCTAAATGCTCCTCTACGGTCGCTGTAGCTACTAGGATATCATCACCACACACAGAAACATTCTGTCCTATCATCTCACCCAACACTGTCTCTAACATACGCTCAAAGCACGTGGGAGACGTTGTAAGGCCATTCGGCCTTACAACGTCTCCCACGTGCTTTGAGCGTATGATAGAGACAGTGTGTCTTCTCATGCATCACGTTTGGGTCTACGTACATGGTACTCGGGACACAGCCGCTAATTTCTTATCCACCAGGGCAGAGAATTCTACCAGAGGCTCTCCATTACGCCATTATATTTAACTTAACTCATTTTGCAACATCAACCTGGTGACTCGGGACGTATCTATCAGCGTCTTTTTTAATGCAAATACTACTTCTGCGGAAGTCCCCTCCTCTCGGATGTGTACGGGGATCTCCAGGAATGCTTCTAGGCTAATCCTGTTAAGTAGGACCACAAGTATCGTGCTTTCGTCTCATCCGATTCGTACCCATAACGGAGACTAAATTCTTCAATAAAATCTTGAAATCTTGCCTCAGTTCTGTTCCCCTTCCCAGAGAACTTCTCTAAGGCCGGAAGCTGTGTCTGCATCCGCTGCGTATACTGTAGCAGAAGTCGCTCAAACGCAGCACTTTCAACCTCGGCATTTCTTTGTCGAGCTATGCCGCTAGCACTTGCGCCCAAAGGCATGTCACTCGAAAGCAAAGACTCACGCGATTGACGTGCCTCTTGAGCCTGTCTTTCTATTGGGACCGGACGCCGGTTACTCGGGCTGCTTCTTTTTGTCAGCTGTAGGTTTCTTCGTTTTTCGTCCTGCAACTTTTCACTGTCATCCAAATGCAGCCTTTCTCCAATTCTACAATCTCTCTTACCTATCTCTGGCTGTTCGGCGTCTGTATCGCTGTCTCCTTCGGAGTCTTCTCCCAGCAATTTTTCTACCTGCAATTGAAGCTGGTTATTTACCTCTTTCAGCTTTTTCATATCTTATTGGTTTCTCCGCATGATTTTCTGCAGCTCATCAACGCGAGCCTACGCCTCAGCCGCGGTCGCGCTGCTCTCGCGAAGCAAGCGCGTCACCGTTTTGGGTGACACATATTCCGTCGTCTCCCATTTCTGTCCCTCGTTCTCCTAGAATTTTAGCTTTTCTAGCTCTTCTCCCACTTCTGGTGTCTACGAGTATTACGTGCATCTGGTACAGCAGAAACAGCCTGCGATATGCTGCTGTTGTATTTCTAGATACACTATGCTTTGATCACTTCCGGCATGCAGGAGAAGGGGCGTCGGTTGGGATGAAGGTATTGCATTATAGGGCCACATTTTTTGAGAAACGACCGCTCGAAGCAACATTTTCAATTTTTAGTGAACTCGAAATTTACATTTTCCTTTTTTTTCAAAAAGCGAACGTTCACCGAAACGACCGGGCTTCATGCAAAAAACTGGTAATCATGTACCTGGAGATCCGTGCGGCTCTATAATGCAACACCTTCACCGCAACCATCGCTCTTTCTCTTGCATGCCTGAAAAGGCCAAAACTCGGCTTGTATGAGCTCCAGTTTTAGGCTACAGCGCAGGGATCATTCCTGCTGTTAACGACTTGCGAGTTTAGTGCAAAAATGCATGATCGCACCGGCAAGCCCTGTGCCTTTCAGCCTGAGATGCATTTGCATGCGTGCAAAAACGCATAAAAAACGACCAATTACTGCATTAAATGAACCACATATTTTCAAAAACAGGCTTAAATTTTTCTTCTAAACGACCTTGAACCAATTTTTTTTTGCATTTTTACTGTGTTGCAACTGTGCAGGAAAACAAATATTGTCAAGAGGTAGTCGGTGTGTGTGTGTGTGTGTGTGTGTGTGTGTGTGTTCGGAGGTGACTGAGTTTTGTCGCCCATTTTCAACTCAGCAACCGAGGGAGCCGAGTATCTGAAATTTTGGGAGCATTTTCCCACCCCATGTGCTATTCTCCCGTTTTAAAATGAATGTTCAGGTATGGTTAGGTCTCAGATACGGATATCTGAAAAAAGCATGTAAGTTTTTGGTAAGAAGCGATTTCGGAAACTGGTCTGCTTAGGGTGTTCTTTGACTATGTGCAACCCAAACGTTTCAAATTCAGCTATCGTAGATGTTTGCATCACGCGTACGATCACACTAAAGGTCTTCGTCCTGCCATACCTAATTTGAAAATTAGCAGGAAAAATAGCTGTAATTTTGCAAGGATATTTACCGTCCGTGTGGAACGTATACCAAAACTGAGTTGTGGATTGCACCTACTTCATGTGTTGGAAGAATATTTGTACAAGTTGACGATTTGGGGAATTGGATAAGCTAGGAAACTGAAATTTTACGAGGATATTCTGCACGTATGTGCGAATTGAAGATCTTAAATTCAGCTACGACGTACATCTAGATCTTGCATTACGTGCAAGTAAGTTTTCAGTTTTGCGTAATTTTTGCATCTGCTTGCTCTATAACCAGACTAACTGGAAGCCAAAATTGTAACAGTGTCTGCCATCCTTCTGAAAGTCTATAGGCATAAAATTAGCCTCTGCTTTCCAATGTGCCTGCGCACGGCTGCGTCAAACAGTTAATCTGCAACTCTTCTGTCATCCTCTCTTGGCAGTCACATAGTCAAAAAAGCAAAAATTTCACAAGATGCTAGCGTATCTTGCACGACACAAAGAATATAAAAGCAACTTTCACAA